GCAAACCCGTCGTTGCCTGCCAGTACGTGAAAGAGCGTTCAAAACCACACTTGGTTAGCTCTGCTTATTTTTCAAACCAAAACAATTCTTCGTGTCCACAACCCACAGAGCACAAACCCATAGGAAAGCGAAACATTCGCAACCACGACGAAGGAATCACACAAACCCAACAAGCACAAACAGCAATAACAACCGCAACTAATCCAAAAACATGGTCCATCAATCCACCCCATCCTGTCCTTCCGGACAGATGAACACCTTCAAGCGCAACAGGACCTCCATCCTGCGACCCCACGAGCTCGTCGAAATCCAGGGATCTTACTGGCCTAGAATCTTGGTTCTTTCGGAATACGCAGAAGGAAGACGAAAGAAGTCAAAGTTCTCGAAGGAATCGCTCTTTGTTCCCATCAAGGTATCCCGAAGACTGAAGAAGAAAGAAATGCTCCAGAAACTGAAGAAGCTCTCGCCAACGTCAAGCCCCATGCACCGGCCGCTTTCTCCATCCTTTGTAGCGTCTCCCAACGCCCTCGCAAGCATCCCCGCGTTGGACCAGGGTTGCAGCGCCTGCTGGAAGCCGTTCGCTCTCGAACCTTCCAAGACGAAGACCTCTTCCCTCACGGGTCGTGTGGTCGTCTCCCAGAAAGATAATGCCAAGAACCACGTCGTYGGACAATCTTCTTCCGGCCTCAAGGGACCACGTCGAAGAAAGCCGTTGACTGCGGGTTTGGCGCACAGATGATCATAGGTCCTAGCACAGCACAAGACAACACACTTAGGAAAGAGAAACACAAGAGGAGCAACTATCTTCATTACAATCGGGGCCCACATTCAATGCATATATACATACAAAATTACAGCAGCTTTCCTACGCTATACTCCGCGATGGAACAATCGAATCACCTACCGGAAACCAAGCCGCGTTCGGTGATTTATACACGAGACTAGCTGATAGAGATAATAACAACTTTGAGATTTACTATTGTTTATTTATTGCACTGCTGCATATGTTTCCATCACCATGGCCTTTGATCGCTGCCGGATCGTTGAGAAGGGTTTCGTCCGGTTCGTTGATACTCGTCGTACAACACCGTGCAGTACGGTATTTCCTTCGGTTTTGGTTTCGGTTTTTATTTTATTCCTCGGTTTTCCCCATACTCGTGCTCGTACTACCACACGGTAGCAATCCCTTTTCTACGGTGATCGTACGGTACGGGGCACTGAATCGTCCTGACGCGCTCTTTCCACACTACGGTAGGAAGATTGAAAGCGAGAACAAACAACGCCAACTTCAGTACGTAGCGTACGGGGGACMATAGAAAACACCTCCCGTACTTTTTCGAGCTCGAAGGTTCCGTAGAAATCGCGCGAAGTATCAGGACAATCGCTAAAGGCGCGCGATTCATTGAAAGCTCCTTCTCATGCTGTCACCCCGGGCTTATTCCAGGCGATGCTGTCCACTTTTCCTTCATGTTCGTGCCATAAGTTCTCTAAATTCGACCCTTAAATGTGCAATTCACAGTCGCCAYCGTGACATCATTCGGGGAACTGCAAACAAACCAAAAACAGCCGAGGTGAAATGAACACGTGCTTTAGGTGTGGGGTGCTGTACGGTACGATCACCGTCTTGCTCGCACGAAAGCACGGGAGCCGATGATTGGTCGATTAGTCGTACCCGAAGCAAAAWTTTTCGCAACCGTTGAACACGCTGCCCGTGCTTTTTTCAACCGCAGGCGAAGCACCCGCAGTAGAATCATGATAATATCGACGTAGCACGGTACGAGTGCAACTACTATGTTGTAAAATACCTCGTCAGGCAATACGTACGGTACGASACAGCTCGGCACAACCAACCTGGTTCCGATTTTGATTGCCGGCCGATATCCTCCCAGATTTTCGTCGATCGAATCTTGTCGGCAGTCGCAGTCGTAGCGGATCCGAAAACTCCGTTAGTGGTTTGTTCCAAAGAATTCGATTCATCGCAACCCGCCCATCGTCGGAGCTTCCGAATCGATATTATCGAAACATTTATGATGGAGGCACGAAAGAGAGGGGGGACCTCCCGGGAAAGCGTCGGTGACTATGACATCGAGACCAACCAGGGCGTTGGGGCCGTCGACATGGCTTCGGCGTCTCCCTATTCGAGGATGGCCAAGGACCCAGTGGAAGTAGTCGGCGGCGCTCCCGACGGGATCTTGGCCCCCGGCCCGTCTCCKGCCGAAGACTCGCACATTCGCAGCCTTGCAAAGGGCTTCACGTGGAGATTCGTCGCCAGCGGAACGACGATTGCGATCGCCAAGATTGTGACGGGGGAGACGACGATCGCCTTTCAGATTGGCTTTATCGAATTCTTTGCCAAGATCATGATCTACTACCTGCACGAACGGATATGGGCCAAGATCCGCTTGTAGCGTGGAATCGAATCGAATTGAATTGAATTGAATCGAAGCACAGAACCTTCCGAGGCGGTGAGGAGAACAGAACGAAACAACGCCAGCCGGCTCACTGGACGGTTGATGAATCTATCAAACGAGCAAGCAAAGGAGTGAACCATTCAATCTTCTCCCTTCGAACCAATAAGTTGTTCAGAAGTTCAAACACGTTACACTTTCTGGTATGCTAGTATTTGGTTTGCACGATGGGGAGATGGATCCTATCCTGGCTTGCCTGGTCAGTTTTAAAACCATGTACACTATGAAAAATAAAAAGAGCTGCAACTGGATGATACATTGGCGTGCAAGTTAAAGATACTTAAACAGAACCAAAAGGCGTTCGGAGAGTAAACCTAAGAGGGACTTGCTTCTATGGTTCCAGGATTTGCTGGTAGTGGTTTGAAAGCATTTTAGTAGATTTTCCACTTCCTTACACAGTGAATCCTTATCATTCGTTCAGTTATCCAAAAGGATCTGCCCTCGCGTTCGCGCATTTCTTGTTGTTTTCGTGTTTGGCGGTTCTGCCATATGAAACCGATGCAGTGCGCATCGAATCTGTCGGAGGAATTCGGATAAACAACCCATCTCTGTTGAATGTCCCCATGCAATTCCTTGCAGCTTCTACATCGCACGATAACGATCACTAACAAAAGAAGAAAACTAAATTTTGTGTTAGCTGTACACGTCCATTACTGCCGCCTCTGTTATCAGCATCACCACTGCCACTGCCACTGCTACCATAGCCAGCTCCTAACATCAACAATATCTCATATCGATCCCTCGAGCCTTGTTGAATGGAAGGGAGAAATGTAAGCCAAATTTGCCAACAAAGTGTCTGACATTGCTTTCAATTATTTTACCACCAAGCGCAACGAGCGCAAAGAAAAAGACACGGTGAAAGTCGCGACACATGAGCATGATGTTGCTTTACTATTCCAGGTCCTTCGCACAAAAATCTGAGATGCTGGACAGCCCAACAAGGTCCATAATTTTCACCAATCGACTAAACTTGCTCATCGAATTATCGAAGTCCAACACACACACAAACACCGTGTCACGGTTGTTATGGAAGTAAACAAGTACACAAACAAATTATCAGAGATGCAGATTCCGGCAAGTTGGAATTATTTCAAGTCAAACCTTCGATTGTCGTAGCAAATCAAGGCTATGAACTGTTCTAAAATGTGGTGRTCAATGTGACGCTTGAGTGGATTAGCCGATTGTTTTACAACGATAGAGAAATGGTTTTTGGAAACATCACCATCTGTCATGGATGGCATGGTGATTAAAATAACCAAAGAAACGAAGAATCAAAGGAACGCATCAAAGAAGACAAAGTTCTTSTCAATCATTTTCGGACCATTCTTTCCGAATTTTTGACTTCCATTGACAATCTATAAGGAGAAAGTCCTTCTGGTCCGACAGCAGCCACAGTCAGAAAAAAAAAGAAACCCAGTTCAAAGTTGATGTCGGATTCCACAAATCAGAACAAATTATGTGAATGGACGAATGAAATTTTTTGCAATCTGATTAAGAACCATGAGAAAAGGGCATCTATAGCAGGAATGTCTCTCRAACTCTCAATATCAAGATCCATAATCTCGCGACTGAAATCAAAGAATGTTCCTTGCTCAATGCCTTCGACCCGGACGACAAGATCAAAACTCGTCTGTTTGATGCCCCAACCKCGATAAATTTCTTCTTGACCAGAAGYAGAATTCTAACAGCATCCCAACCAACCAGTATGTGTTTACTCTGCGTCAATGTCTCCGTTGCAACAACATAGAAGGAGCCTATCCACTGGCGGTTGAGTTTTATGGTTTGTCATTCTCCTTCTGGCGTAAACGAACAACGATACAAGGCTGGTTGAACAAGAATCATGTAGTTTTATTTTGGTTGCTAGCTCCTGTAATTGCTACGCACGGTTTTGAAAGGACGATATTTTATMATTTTTCTTTTGTTTTTTTTTGAATGTCGTTTCCGGGTAGTCATGCATACAGTCTGATCCGTTCGTATACACCCAGGCCGTTGCTTCGATGCTCTATCGTTTTGCGCAGCAACGACCCGCCACCAGAATTCTTGTTTCTTTTTCCACTAAGCAGATTGTTGTTTCTCTAGGTCCTCCAGGTGGACATAGGTATTGCCCACGGGCAGGAACTCCGTCAGGTGCTCCTTCGCTCGCTGGTGCGTCTCCAGGGAGGTTCGCTTGATGTCCTCGGCCTCATCGGCCGTCACGGTGGCAACAAAGGTCGCCGGGTTTCCTGCCCACTTCTGTCCCGACGGAATGTACGTGTAAGGAGGGACGACCGTCCCCGGTTCGAGGATAACGTTCGACTCCACGACGGCGCCCTCAAGGATGGTGCACTTCTCTCCGATGACCACCAGGTCCTCGATGCGGCAGGATTTTAGGACGCAGCCCCCACCGATGGTAACATAGTGCCCGATGCTTGTGAYGGGGGGRAATCCCGTTTTCAGGGTCCCGTTCTTTTTGAGGGTGGTGACGACGGATCCTTCTCCGACGCTCGACGTGAACCCGATTGTGATGGGGTGGGAGGAATCGGCGCGGACCACGGCTCCGTACCAAACGCTGGATTGGTCCCAATTCGTCACCTCGCCGATCACCGATGCAGTGGGGGCGATGAAGGTGTCGTTCGTGACAAACGGTGACTGCCCGAGGAAGGTCATCTTTGGGCGGTGTCGGGAAATAATCTATTTGTTTCGAATCCGGATTCGGTTTGATTCGTTTCGTTTCATTTCGTTGGATTCAATCACACGAAGATCAAATAAGTTCAGTCATAATGTTTGCAATGAACCAAATGCAACAAAGCGAGACATAAATTTAATGAATACTTTTAGTATCAAAGATTCCGGATCAATAGATACGAGCACCAAAGAAACGTCAAACGGCACAGCTACAACGGCGTATACAAATGCATACCTCTAGCACTCCGGCTTCCCCTCGCATAACACTGCCAGCCTCTCTCAAGCCCTTAGAGACAACTGATTTCAACATATTCGCCATGGTGTTTGTTTCCTGTCAACGATATGGTACAGAGGACGCACGGGTCTGTCGCTATCTATCAAGGCAATCGATCGGATGAATTCAATACAGAGGCGGTGTTGGTTGCGTTTGTTGGCTGTTGTTGTCAGCGCACGGGGACCCGGGGAAGAGGGATTGTTGCCTCGCATGCCGTAGGGTACATACGTACGTACAGTACTGCTGTTGGGGCCAACTGAAGTTTGTACCAGGAAATGTCGTATGCGAGGCGAGGTCGCCAACCATAGAACCAGAAACCACGCTAAACGCTAAATCATGTCCTCCAAAAAGCCCATGTATCGTGACTTGACTCAATCTTCTAAGTTAGATTGACTCGATCGATCCAAACTTCTCAACCGTACAWGCAACGGTATCCAGCAAGAAACTAAAGCCTGCCAACTATGGAAGAAAAATCAGATCACATCGTGTGCACAGACAATCGATGAAGGTGGGATGATGGCACGAAGATCTTTCAAGAAAGACAGGAGCAAACACTAAACTCCTACCAGCCAATAGATCTGAATCCAAACACATTTCGTTAATTGTTGTATATTCCTTTTTAGGTGYAAGGAGCGATCGATCGATCGATCGAAACCCAAGAGAGAACGCAGAGGACACAAGCACATAGACGAATAGCGTTCCAGGATGAATATTGGGTCGAGGCCTTTACGGCGACTCTTGGCGAGTCAAATGGATGGCATAACGCGTCGATGTTGCCCCATGAGTTCAAGAGTTCGTAATGGGCCGAAGAGAGCGATGGCCTATTCCCTGTCGGTCTCGTGTGCCAGTAGCCAGACAATACGCCGTGGKTTTGCGGTCGATAGCCAAAGCAATGAACGACAACCACAAACACGCCACGGGGGTAACGGCGCGATCGGCTTGTTTTCCATCCCCGGTCTGATCCATCCGTGCGACTTTCAGCGCTTGACGAAGGAGGCAATCCAAGAAAGCGATCGGCTCCGCGACAACATCCCAAACTCCATAGAGTCCACGAGCCAGGCACGAGCCACGCTCTACGAGCTCGATCAAATCAGTCGCACGGTCTGCAACGTCATCGACGCCGCCGAGCTGTGCCGCTCGGCACACGCCGATCCGGAGTGGAGGGATGCGGCCAACCGCTCCTTCCTCGAGCTCCAGAACTACATWGCCACGCTCAACGCGGACCAGGGATTGTACCACGCACTGGTCTTGGTGGAGGACGGATACTTCGACGCCATGTCGGAAGAGGAACGCAGGTTTTGCTTTTTGCTCAAGCGAGAATTCGAGCTCAGCGGGATCCATTTGCCCGACGACCAACGAGAGCACGTCAAGCAGCTCCACAACACGGTGACCACCCTCGAGACCCTGTTTGCAAACAATATCACTAACGCGCACAAAGAATTCAGCATAGACGCCGATCTCGTTGAAGCGGTGATACCGAGGCACGTCCTGGAAGCCAATGGGGCTGTATACGGGGAGGCGAGAGGAGAAAAGCAACAGGTTCGATTGGCGGCGGTTTCTTCTATCTCGCATTCCATCACGAACTACGCCGCTAGTGGATCCCTTCGAAAAGAGGTTTACATGGAAACAAAGACCAGTTGTCCCGAAAACATCGACGTCCTGGATGCCATGATCGACGCCCGCCACCAGCTAGCGCGCACCCTCGATTTCGAATCCTACAGCCACCGATTCTTGCAAGACAAAATGGCACAATCGCCCGATGCCGTCTCCGGGTTTTTGCATGACCTGCAGAAGAGGATCGAACCGGCCTACCAGCAAGAAATGGAGATTTTGTCGCGCGCAAAACAGCAATTCGAGGGCAACCCAGAGATCGAGCCATGGGACGTCAACTTTTACACCAAAGCGCTCAAGGCCCARGGGGGAGTGGACCCAGGCGCACTGGCACCGTTTCTGAGTCTCTCGAATTGTTTGCGGGCAATGAAACTGCTAACAAAGACACTCTTCGGTATTCGCATGGAAGAAATGGAACTGGAGGACGCGGAGCGGTGGGACGCAATCACGGACGGGAATGGGAACACCAGCGCTGCTCCCGCTCACCGCGAAGAAGAAATCAGGAAATTCATTGTTTCGGAGGAAGAMACCGGTCGSGAACTAGGCACGATGTACCTGGATTTGCATCCCCGCCCGGGGAAATAYACTCACGCCGCGCACTTTACGGTCCGATGTGGCTGTCTAGAGAACGGCCCTGATTCCAGCTATCAAAAGCCTATCGTTGCGCTGGTCTGCAACATGAACACGGGGGAGGCCAGCTTCTCGTCCCACCAGGAGGTCGAAACGTTTTTTCACGAATTCGGGCACGCCATGCACTCGCTGCTGAGCCGCACGAACTTTCAGCACATGTCCGGTACGCGTGCCGCCATGGATTTTGTCGAAACGCCTTCCCACTGGATGGAGCACTACGCATGGTAAATCTGGTTTTGTGTTTTTCATTTCCATGAAATAAATCGCAAAACAAAGCTCGCATGCATTCTCAAGTTGTTTTTTCGTTGCCTTTTTTTGTTTTGCATCTCAAAAAGGTGTGAGCAGTTTTTGCCACTCCTAGCAACGAACACAGACGGAGAGCCCCTACCCGAATCACTCGTGAAGGCATTGAACCAGAGTCGCAATCAGTTTCGTTTCATAGAAATGCAAAAGCAGATTGTGTTGTCCAATTTCGATCAAACCATTTTTGGTCCCCAAGAATCATCAAGTAACAGCCAGAGATTGCCCACCAAAGACGTTTGGGCAGCAATGCATCGCCAGAGTGGAGTACCGTTTGCGGAAGGCACCCACTGGTACACAAACATCGGGCATTTTGTGACGTACGGTGCAGGGTATTGTAAGTTTGAAGATTTTGTTGTTGTTTGCTCTTGTTATATGAACGAAACGATCTGTGTTGGTGGTGCATTTGTCTTGTGTCTTGATAAAGACAAAATAACTAACCCCTAAAACTCTTYAATCGATCAATCCTTTTTTCAAATACTACTGGTACACACCTTCGTTGGGCTTCCAGACGGTAAGTGGTCTTTTTTTGCGTGGTACTGCAACAACCCATTGAACTTGCTAGTGGCATGATTAATTCGGAGTCGGGTTTCGATTTTCTGTGTCTTTTGCTACGCTTATTTTCGCTAACTCCCTTTTCGACTCTTACCTATCGCACTCAATCCTCGTTTTCGTGACAGGTTATCTTTACTCCCAAGTCTTTGCGGATGCGATCTGGAACGAACTATTTCGCAAGCAAAGTTTGAATCGGAGCTCAGGAGAACGGATATGGAAGAAGATGCTGATACACGGCGGCGCCCGTGATGCGAACATTATGCTAGAAGACTTGCTTGGGCACAAACCAACTGTGGATCACTACTGGAAAAGCCTTGTTGAGTCGATACGAGAGAAGGAAGGATAGATAACTTCTCTTGTATTTTGATGACTGGCAATTGAATCRATTCAGGCTACTTGTAACTATCAAACATAGGTATACTCTCGAGATCAAATCCCCATAAAAATGACCCTTAATATTCTTAGRAATTATACGCAGTTTTAGTTGTTCAATTTCTGGGCCATCCACCATGATCGTACATAGGTAGGTTATCAAAGCGAGAGTCGCTGTCWAAGTTTTCAGTAGCCTTCGCGCAGAGAAACGCAAGACGGCGTTCAATCACATTAAGTGACGGGAACTCGTTCGCATATCTTTCAATCCATGCAGCAATATCATCTCCCGACGAAGCATTCAATATCGATTGCGGAACCATCCTTTCACTTTCAAAAAATGTGGTTCTTATATGACGTTTGATCGCTTCTTKAGAAAATATAATTCCAGCATCACTGCTATCTAGCTCCGACGCACGGTCTTTCAGAATGGAAAACAGCCCATGTGTGCTCGCGTGTACAAGAAGTGCAGTATCGTGGATCCATGGACACCACCAAACAGGGAGACCGTCCATTGATTTTCGCATTGTCTTGGAATGCAAAATTTCCTGTATGTTTTTAGCTTGAACCTGTCCTTTAGAAATATTGAGAATGCAACGCATCAATCGGAATCTACGAATTATAGCACTTGCTATTCCCACAGCTTCAATGGATTGCTCAAAAAGCGGTAAACATGGATCCGGCAGTGGGCTCTGCAACTTTTCTGTGGGTTCTGGGTAACAGCAAGTACCATCGTATGTTTCGTATTCCCCTTTGCTTCCACGGGTTATTTGGGTTGTGGAGTTATTTCCGTACAAGCAAAGCTTTAAGCAATGAGGAAGGAAGTGCCCTTCGATGTATTCCTTTATCACATTCATCTCGGGTATTTTAGTGTCACCGCAGAAATGTTTCAATAATAATTGGAACCGATTCGTTCCGAACATTGGATTCGAAGCTTCAGAGAGTTGTACGGGTGACGTTTCTCGAAGGCAACTCCAGATATCATACGCCATGTTCAATTCGCCATCTTGCTGTGGAAATCCGAAGTAAAGGAGTACACATGACACCCCTGCTCTTAAAGTTGCATTAGATTGGAAAGCCATYGGAAGAGTGCTGCTGAGTGTTGGATGGGATATCAATTTATTCGTCAAAGCTGTGCCAGGAGCAACCTCGGCTTCCCCTTTGATTGACGGCTCTTCTTTCTTATCGCCTACCAAGGTTGCTTCAATTGGTCCTGGCATGTTGGGAGGATCAAATGTAGATGTTGAACCATTCTGCATAAATTCTCCTTTTGTTTCATTTGAGGCATTACTTTCCTTACGCTCGTTTGCCAGTAAGCTATTTAGACACTTATCATTGGCATGGGCCAAAGCAACCATTCCGAACCTTCCAAAAGTCATCGGAACTCCCAAGGCTCTCAGATATCGTGGAGACTCTGGGCCATGCGCTACCTGAAAGAGATCAGGACTTGCCGCCCCGATGCTGTAGTCTGCCCTGTCGTCAACAGTTCTATGAGTGACACCACATTGCGTTCCATTCAGACCGATTCCTGCGTATTCTATTACTTGATCTGCACTTTGCTTTAGGGTCTTTTCTTGTAAAAAGCGAGCAGAAAAATCACGCATGCTTTGATTTGCGAAGACGGTGCCAGACGTGGGCCAGACCTTTGGTGTCGTAAACTCATCTTTGTATTCATCACATTTTCTGCTTTCTGAATGGCATTTCTCAATTTCCAATAACACCAACTTCAACCTGAAGTCCAACACGCGTGCATCAGGCATTGGCAAGCTGTGAAAGTAGTTCCTCTTTCGTCTTCCCTTGCTTTCCTCAATTCCTTTCGCTTCTTTCTTTCCGGAACAATTTACTTTAGAATCCAAATCTGAACCCAACGATACAGACCGAATCGAAGATACAATTGCTTCCTTCACTCTTGGCAGTGTTATAAAATGATCATCCTTCCCTTCTTGGAACTCATACAAGTGATCCAATGGCTGTTCGCCCATATTGTTGATGACCGCATCTGCAGCATCCCCACCTTCCCTAAGTGCCGCTGCCTCCTTCTCTCGTTTCAGTGCCGCCGCTGCTGCTGCAGCAACGGCTTTTTGAACCTCTTTCTGAGCCTTCAACTTGGATTTTTCGAGTGCGTCGTCGCACACTTGTTTTGCAGCTGATGTTGCTTTTGCAAATCGTTTGTGCGCATCACAGCACAAGCTGTCAGAAATTGAATGCTTGCGTATTTTGAATGTGAAAGGCAATGTTTCGTCGTGCAGCATAGCCTCGTAGTTTCCAAGGCCATGAACAAATGTTCCAAGAAGTAATGCAATGTCACATGATCGGTCCCACCAAGCGGCCGGAGGTTTATGATTGACTTGAGTGAAAAGTAGATTTATTGATAACGTTAGTTCCTCTGTGCTCACAAGCCTCGTCTTTAAATCAGTATCCAATGTTGCCATATTGCTTGTCTGGCAACCCCTTTGCGCAAGCTGTTCATACCCAAGTTCTGATACATAGATTCATGAAAAGTCATGTGAGAGTAATTCAAGATGAGACAACACGGAATCAAGCTAAAATACTTACYGGATATTATGGCATCCACGCAGCTGCCTATTACCCTTTCAACTCGGCACGCCATGAATACTCTCCTTAACGACCGCAGTGCTGCACCTCTTCGCAAATCTGCGACATAGTTCTGCTCAGCTAAAACCAACGGAAGTCGCAAGAATCTACGCTGTTTCTCTACTTCTAGAAAGTCCCRGATTCCTCGAATGAGACAGTCACTTAACCACTGAAGTTCATCAGAGCTTGACGGACCAAGATACTCCTGTAAATTGGTCTTGAGATTTTCGTCAATTAGACCATCTGGGTCATCGCTTAATTTCTGCAAAAAGATAACTGCCAATTGAAGAGACTGTTGGTATACGACTATCGAAATCAGCAAAAGGCAGATATGGTCAGTTACGAGCTACTCTTATTTTTTATGCAAACAGAATTCCGGTGAAACTTACATTGGCGGACAAAAATCTCGATATCCTGTACAGGCAAACACTGTAGATTAGATTCATGCCTTAGTTTTGAAAACCGGGAAAACCCAAATCTAATGCATGCCGCTACGGCACGGTTCCTGTGCGATATTTCCCATCCTTGCTTCAGATTTTCAATCATTGGGTTTTCATTCTCTGCTTTCCGAAGAGCTCTTTTGCGTTCGAGACTTCTCTTCGACTTCTTTTGCGAAGGTTGACTCATGAGGGTAGATTCTTTTTTCGTGATTGGAAGGGCTTTCTTGTTTCCGGYTTTCTTCAACAAAGATTTCGTCTTCTTCGTTTCGCCAATTTCTCCGGCTTTACCAGTTTTTAATTTTTTCCTTTTCTTTAAAGTATTCGGTGGAGGTGGTAACGTTCTTGCCTCTTTATTACGGAGCTCATCGGCTTCTTTTTCCTCACGCGACTTCCGTTTCTTGCTCTTTTCTAATTTCTTTGCCCTTTTTTCTTCCCTCTGTCTTTCCTTTTCATCCTTATCAGCTTTCATTTTTATGTCAATCTTCTCTTGCTTAATTCTTTCTTCTTCCCTAACATCAGCGTAAGGGTCGAATTGCTCGACTTGCTTTCGCGATCTCTTTACCCCGTCATCAATCATATGGCTGATTTCCTCGGGTGTCTCAGTTGGTTGTTCAAGGCCTACCGCTTTTGACCAAAAGTCTGGGTCGTCTAAATCGACATCTTTTTCACCGTCCCCAGTATCGGTAACAAAGCTGGCTTTGCTGAAGGAGCCCAAACCACTGCTAAGTTTACTTTGTTGGTTTCCATAAGTGACATCCTTCGCAGAGCTCTCCATCAATTGGTCAATATCAGTTTCCATGAACTTTTTCGCTTCTTCGTCATCGTCGTCTCGAAAAACGTCGTACGCGCCCTTTTTCAGAAGCTGATCAATTTTTTTCGCTTGTGCTTCCCTCTCACTTTTCGACTTCGACTTTTTCCCATCCGTTCCCTCTCCTCCCTGATCACGTTGCTGGGATAACACAGCTTGCTCTAGCCCTAATTTCATACTCGCACTATGAAACATGTGCATTTCGTATGTCTTTGCAGTAAGCAATCTGTAAACTCTAACAGCTTTTGTCTGACCAATACGATGGGCTCTTGCCATCGCCTGCAGGTCGTTTTGAGGATTCCAGTCGCTATCAAAAATTATTACAATGTCCGCAGCTGTTAAATTTAATCCTAATCCTCCAGCCTATATCGATATCGAAGCGAATGAGAAGAGATCAAACATATCTTGGTGTGTAGTTGACGAAGCAGCATCACAGAGAAAACTTACCCTGGTACTCAATAGCATAACGAAACGCTGACAGGATTTTCGAATGAATCTATCTACAGCTGCTGCTCTAGTCGAGGAACGAGTTGAGCCATCTAGCCTCTCGTATTTATAACGCATCATTTTGAGCAATTCTTCCAACAGATCTAGCACGCGGACCATTTGACTGAAGATTAGCACTTTGTGACCGTTTGCATATAATTTCGGAAGTAACTAAGGAAAGCAGGAAGTGGGCAATTGGTTACAATTTCATCAGATTGAAATGTGTTGTATTGTCAACAAGGGACAAGCGGAATACAGACCGCAAAACTTACTTTATGAATCAAGACCATCTTTCCAGACGACTTGACGAGCTGGTCGTGGAAAATTTGTAAGTGATTTAGCTCCGCAACTGGATCATTTGCCCTGATTTGTTGCGTAGCTTCAAGAAGAAGTTTTTCCTCCGCTCCGCGAATCAAAAATGGATGATTACAGCATTTTCTCAGCTCCATCATTACATTCATCAAACTAGGTTGATTCTTAGGCTTGGCGCCCTTGAACAAAAAGGTGGTGTTTCGTTCATAAATAGCTTTGTAAAATTTCTTCTGACTCGGAGTAAGACTGACCTCGAGTATTGTTTCTGTTTTGGGAGGCATAGACTTTTCGACATCTTCTTTCACTCGTCTTAGCAGGTATGGTTTTAGAACTGCATGGAGCTGATCGACCTGTCCCGAATCGGTCAGTTGTCCAAACTTTTCCAAAAAGTCGTCCTTTGAATCGAAAACAGAACCATTCGCAAATTTCAACAATGCCCAAAGCTCCTCAGTAGCGTTTGCCAATGGTGTACCAGTGAGCAATAAACARTAGTCACGAGGAACCGATGTCAACTCTTCAAAGAGTTTGGAGCTAGAGTTTTTCAACCGATGAGCTTCATCGACAATCAGTGCTTTCCACTTAATTTTTGTGAACACGTCAACATCCTTCAAGACGACTTCGTAAGTAGTGATCAGAATATGGAACTTTGTCACATGTTGCTTTCGGAGTTTTGTTGCAGTGGCCTTTGRCACAAACTGATCAGTGAAGAAGAAATCATTTTTCACTAGAAAGTCCCTCGCATCTGCTGATCCATGATACAAAACAATGTGTAAGTCTGGCGCCCAGCTTTTCATCTCGGACTGCCATTGCCCGATGAGAGATAATGGTGCCACTACCAAAAAAGGCCCTCGTACGCCAGTATTCGGTGTGTCTTGGAGAAGCTTGATTAATCCAACGGATTGAATTGTCTTTCCGAGTCCCATCTCATCCGCGAGAATACATGATCGGCGATTCCACCAGTTGAAAAGCAACCAATTGACACCCTCCAGTTGATAATTACGAAGACGGAATGGTTCTCGTTCGTCTTCCACATCTTTCGGCACAAGCTGACCATTAATGGAATCTGCAACGAGTCGTTTTCGTTTGGAAATGCCGAAAGGAGGCGACTCTTTGATTTTTTGAAAGTCCTGCATATGAGGGTGTGGCTGAGAATTTCTAGCCAGAGTCTCTTCGTCTGGTGGTTGCTGTCGTATCCAAAAGTCTTCGGCTTCGTCTGTTGCATCGGTCTTTATATCTTTCCAGTATTCCCATGTGATTTCGGCAAATGGCAGGCCTTTCCATTTTACAACATAACGAACATTGTCCTCCGGATCCCACGGGATTTCTGTTAAAATCTCCTTCAAACCTTCTTTTGAGTTCCAAAGCTTTGTTGTTCCGCTCTCCTTTTGTTTCATCTGTTCCTGATCATCGAGAATATTTAATGCCCGTTGCTTTGCGTACAAAGATAGATCCATCTCGGATTCATCACACGCTAAAATGCGTTCAACTTCGGTGTTTGCAGGAGGGTAGAACTCCTCGTCAGGTTCTTCTTGAGGAGTATCCATTTTGCCTTCAGTGTCGACATTTGTTGCTGGTACAGGATCATGAAGAGCAGTTGCATTACTAGCTTTCCGCTCTTCTTCTATGACTTTCTTCCAATGGATTCCTAGTGCTATCTCTTGTGCCTGATTATATTTTCTTATCTTGCTTCGTGCAGTATTGTTGGTTGGATCCGTTCGAATAATATCTGATCCTCGCTCCCAGCTGTTATGTAAGTATGACTTTCCTCGCCATTTTATCAGATAAACTTCTTCTCGTTCKGTTGCACCTGTGTGCGGCGTAGCTTTTATCCGATATGTCGGTTTGATTGAAGCATTCGTTGTTGTCGTAAAATCTTGCTCCTGCAATTCTTCGGTTTGTGTCGCTCCCCCAATTAGATGTTTCCCCTCTGCGTGTTGAGCTTGCACCGCCATAGCCATGACAATCGGACATTGCTCCTGTGCAATGCGAGAGATTTCGTTCCGTTTTTTGGGATCACGCCAAATAAGCGGAGACGATCGAGCAATTTCGGAAAGCTTGGCTGCCTCGGTTGTGTCTAGCACGGGGGGCATGGGGGGTTTTGTATCGTCGGAGTAAGAAGCCGGATCCCACTCTAGCCTTGTTACCTTCCGTCTTCTCCAAGTCAAGATTTTCTCGACAACATAGATGTTAGCAAAWACCTCTCTCGAGTACCATAAAGATGGTAGCGCTCCTGTTGGAGGAGATTCGAAGGAATTGTTGCCCAGTTCCAACCATGTAGTGGCAGGAAGAGTGCCGACATTGGTCACGGAGGGGCCCAAATACGGAGTTTGTTGATACGCAGAAACACCAGAGGCGGTAATGGCAGCGAATTTTTCTGCGGCGAACTTTAAATTGGTAGAAGTTGAAGCCTTTGCAGATGAGGAGGGCTTTTTCGCCTTCTTGGAAACTATCCTTTTCTTCTTCTTGTTCTTTCCGTAATCGTCGTCCTCGGAATCGGTCAACTCCCCTTCGGAACTGGTGTCGTCAAATTCCTTGTACTCAATAGTTTGCGTTTGTTTCCGCTCTCGTTTAGGGGCAGCGTCAGGAAGTATTTCCGGAGCTCGAGGGATTCCCCCATTGTTCATGTCAACACCGCTGAGATCAACCGAAATAATAAAGGGACGTTCCGACACAATATTTGGCAAGGGTTGATCCTTGGGGGAGGGTAGATGAGAGGATGCTTGAGATCGAAATGGTTCATTATAGCTTGATCGTTTTGAGGACGCCTTTGCTTTGTCTTCACGAAGCTGCGATGGTATCTTGAAGGATAATCGTTTGTTTTGACCCGAATGACTGCGGTGAAAATCTCGATCTGTAGAATGGCCATTGGCGTTGCGACTATGACCATAGGCATGAGCATTAGAGTACAGCGAAGACGCCGAACCTTTTCTAGGAATGGACCCGTTTATGGAGGGTCTACTAGATCCCACAGAAGACGACTTTCCAGAGTTGCGTCTCGGGATGGCATCAGTTAGGGATCTCTTTCGAGGAATGGTCGAACCTATCGAAGACGAAGAACCGAACCCATTGCCCGAAGTCACCGAATGCTTTGGTTTGCGAGGGATAGTAATTGATTGCTGGTGTGAAGAATTATTGCTAATGCTTTCAGATTTACGACGAGGAATGGATCCATCCAAAGACGAAGAACTCGATTTTTTCTTTGGAATGGTCCAATCGCTCGATCGGCTGTCGTTCTTCTTCTGGTTGCTATCCATGTTGCCGATGATGCAGTCTAGCCGCGTTCAATATGAGCCCGGTGGAAAGAAATCAATAGAACTCGCTTTGATATTCAAAACTGATCTTGGAGTGTCGTACAAATAGCGTTGACCTCAGAAGAACCAAAGCAAACCAAGGATGCTATCAATCAAGCCACAGAAACTGACGTGATATRTGAAGAATTGTAACTGAAATAATAGTAACTTCATCTTGYGGTGTTCTCGTCAGGAGAGAACTGAGAGAGAGGTAACGGAAGAGTTCGTAGAGATTCTACATGCCAGCGGGGACACGAAGTATCAGTAATTTCGTAACWTGAAACCCGAGTAAACTTCTCGCCATGGTCGGATGGATTTTCGYAAGACGGAAAAYCTCGCGACATCTGCGCGATTTTTCACACACGAAGATTTGACTTGTTCAATTATGCCAAGAAACACATCGCGACCATGGCGGTCAATGCAATGCGTCCGTCATGTGTCGGTGCACGTTTCGGGGTGTTCTTGAATTTTTAGGGTTCGACCGAGTAAGAAAAATGATAYGATGAAGTTCCTACCATACTTCTACTTCTTGAGTGAGTCACAACAAAATCCGGAAAACACATCAYACCATCCATCATCAACACTATCACACCARAGAACATGTAACAACGAGTGTCAAAATAGATTCGAAAACGATACATTAGCCGATCATTGAATTCTGTSAAAGCCATACTGCTGTAACCAATCTATCTCCTTGTTGTATTTCACGCAATCGAAAGAAAGGGTGCTGATGCTACCAAACTGAAATTCTGCATGTTCGAAGTTTTTCTTGGAAGTCCAACAACTCCTACGCGATCGATTTTACAATATATTGTGGCCGCTCTGCTCCTTCCTATTTGTGCTTCACTGTCGACAACAATACCGCCAACGATGACGAAGGGAAAGGTCGTCAATGCAATGCATTGGTTTCGAAAGGGTCTTCGGCTTTCCGATAACCCGGCACTGKTAGCCTGTTTAGAACAARAGCCCAAGAACATATATCCCGTGTACGTTCTCGACGGAAACTCGTACCAACTGCTTCGTTGTTCCCCTTTGCGGGCCAATTTCTTGGTTGAATGCCTGCAAGACTTRGACAACAATTTACGCACATTGGGGTCTCGTTTGTACGTTCTTTCTGGAGATCCAACCGTCGTTTTGCCAGAAAAGTGGGAGGAATGGGAAATCACCGATTTGAGTTACGAAGAGGATGAAACGGGAGAGCCCTATGCATTGCAGCGGGATGAAAAGATCGTCAATCTGGCACAAATTTCTGACATCCGCTTGTTTACAGCACAGTCTGAGACACTCTATCCGCTGAAAGATTACGTTGCAAAATCCGGAAAGAAACCCGTTCCAGGGACGATGACGGCCTTCCAGAAGCTATTTGGGGGAATGCCAACAATGAAGAAGGTATTATCGCATCCTTCAAAGGATCAATTTCCACGAAACGAAAATCTCGATGAACTCTCGAAACTCTATTTGCCACCGACACATCCTACCGATCTACCCTGGCCCAGAGGAATTCCGAAGGCTGAGGTCGACTCCTTGTGGGATGCGAGCGACTGTGTGAATCTCGCGCCCGTAGTCCATGGGGGAGAAACGTTGGCCCGGAAAGCTCTCAAGAAAAAGCTTAAAGATGCTAATTGGGTTGCCACCTTCGAAAAACCCCAAACAAGTTGTACATCACTCGAACCTTCCACAACTGCCCTTGGTCCTTACTTGTCATGGGGATGCCTATCGCCACGGGAAGTGTGGTTTGCAATCGACAAGGCAATAGCAAAATCTTCTGTGACAAAAGTATCGAAACCTCCCGTCAGYCTCCATGGTCAGTTGCTCTGGCGAGACTTTAACAATTTGATGGCCCACGATGCAAATATCCATCACCCCGGTTCTTGGAATCATATGGAAGGAAATAAATACTGCCGACAAATCCCTTGGGACGACGATCCAAAGTTGGTCGAAGCGTGGAAAGAAGGAAAGACCGGATTYCCATGGATTGACGCTGCCATGAGACAACTAGCGCAGGAGGGATGGATTCATCATTTGGGGCGGCATGCCGTCGCTTGTTTTTTGACGCGTGGGGATCTGTGGCAGTCGTGGGAGGAAGGAGCGAAACATTTCGAGGCCCAGCTCTTGGATGCTGATTATGCTCTSAATGGTTTCAACTGGATGTGGCTATCTTGTAGTGGTTTCTTCTATCAGTACTTTCGTTGCTATTCACCTATTTCATATCAGCAAAAAAATGATCCCACTGCAGAATACATCCGAAAGTACCTACCTGAGTTGAAGGATGTGCCCAAGAAATATATCTACTCGCCATGGGAAGCACCGCCCTTGGTTCTGGAGAACGCAGGTGTTAGGCTTGGAAAGGACTATCCGTATCCCCTTGTCGACCACAAAATTATCGTCAAAGAAAACATGGGACGAATGAAGCAAGCTTATGACGATCACAAGGCAGTGGAGGCCGAAAAAGCCCAAGCAGCCAAAAAAGCTGCGGCGGCGAGCAAAAAGAATTCTAGCAGCAGTAGTGCGCAGTCAAGAAAGAAGAGACAAAAAACAAAATGATCACATTCAATTCAACGAACTAGACAACTTGATAGTAACAATTTATTTGAAGAAAATTCGAGGGTGAAAGCTGACATATTAGAGCATTTGCAAGGTACTACAATTCAGTTTGCACAGTGACGAGTATGTCAGTAGTCAAGAAGTTAACTCTACCGGTAACTGGAGGGATTGACCGATTTGGAATTACATTTATTACTCGAACAATAGATATGACTTGATCGACATCTAGATTTGTCCTCATTATCATCATATGACGCTGCCACAGTCAGTTCTTTTTGCATCAAGCGACTTTCACTTTCCTCTGCTTCCCATTCCAGTCTTGTGACACTATGGTTGTTTTATATATGATGYCATACGACTGTGACTGTTTTGATGAAAAATAGACCGTTTGGTATGCGATACTAAAAGTKATGTCTGCTAGTTTGCAACTTTGAGTGGACGGGACTTTGAATTTCTTCTCACATTCTCCGTTTCACAATTGAAAAATAAACATTCGTTGTATTGTGTTCATGAAGCCATCTTCGTTGTGATTTTGACATTTACACTTTTTCCATTCCATTCCGCTTACATGTAACGTCTTCGTTCCAAGAAATTCCGGAAATACATGATTTGCGCACCGGCAATTGCTACCACGACGACTGATTCCAAGACAACCCACCACATGAGTTGAGTGAAGGTTTGCTCAACAACCTCTCTGTGCGTGTTTTCTCGTGCTCGCATATATTGGTGATGGGTCATGAGATTGGCCATAGATCGTACGAGTTCCCCCGCCGCTCTTTTATTTCGGTCGTGTTGAGTGTGGATGTGCTGGTTCTCGTCCGTTGCTTCCACGGTATATGCAAAGCCAACCGTCCTGGGTTTTCCATCATGGGACCGAGCTGTGGGCGACTTTCGTCCCCGCCCAGCTGTGACCAATCCATTTTGCAAGCAAAGATTTACCTTCTGGTTCGCTTTGAGATTGACCCGGAAGCTCCCCTCTGTAGCCCGTCGTCTCGATCGAAATAGAACGTGTTCCTCCTTTGCGTCGATGACGACAACCGCTAGAGGTTCGGAGCTAATGCTGTCGTCCAAGTGATCAAAATTTCCATAAAGTAAACCACCCGCAGCCCCCGGGGATGCAATGATGAAACATTCTTCGTCTTTTGCGGGGACCGATACGACGTATGCGGCATCAATTATCTGAGGAAAGAGYATGACTAAACATGTCACTATCGCAAAAACAGTCATGTAGGAGGTAGATGCCCTGSTCATGGATGCTATCGGTATAATGGTCATGACCGATGTATTGTATGATGTCAGGTATCGMTGCTATGACCCACAGCGACGGTGAATTGGTATACAGCGAATTCGAAAAAGACTTCGGAATGAATCTGGGAACCRATTGATAGAGGCTGTTCCGGTTGCGATCGGTTGTGGTACTCGTATACCCTCGGCGCAACTTTGGGRCTGGTCTTATCTTCGATGCTACCAAAGAGGATGTTACTTCGTATGGGTTTTTAAATGTAGAAGGGGTCTTCCACATGCGGGATCAATTTGTTTGCCGAATCACTCTCCGAAGTAACCACAAGTTTTTTCCAAGAACGATCTTCCACTCTGACTTCAGAACACAACGAGAAAAAAAACTATTGAAGCTCCAATGAGATACTGTAACAAGACATGATGTACGATCATATCCTACGAGTTCCGTATGGTAGGTAAGTACGTACTTTTCTACTTTAATCTGTAATTCTTCCTGAGATCGTCTGGCATTCGTCTCATACCATACGGTCACGTTAGAGTACGTTAATGTAGGTCAAAGTACAGGTGATACAGCAATATTACGAATACGAGCTTCCCAGGGCCAGACGATTTCACGCTGTGGCAAGGATAAAAACCTGTCCGTGACATCATCAAAAAAGAGTACGAGTACGAGTACGACTGGGAAAAGTTCATCAATCATCCATCACCTCGCTTCCTTCCAACACCTCAATCACGAAACAYCACTATTCCAACTTCCAAGTCGCTAAGGAGCACTTGTGTAAACTTGAGATCAAAGATACACCAACTTTCAGGGGAAAACTAAGAGGATGGAATCGAAAGAACTGATACTAAAGCTACCAAATAATAGATATTTCTTGGTAGCATTGGTTCTATCAGTGCACACCATGCTGTTAACTAGAGTAACAACGGGGTTTTCGAAGGCGTTGAATGCTCGTCGAGTATTGCAGTCTACGTCGTCAGGATTTTTTTCCTTCCACGACAACGGCAAGAACAACSGGCATACTAAGATAAAGTACGAACAAGGGARCCGGTGTCAACGATCGGGTATAAGTTCCTTGTCGATGTCGACAGCAGAGCCCACAATACCTTCGGCAACGACAGCTGCAGCCAGGGCAGCCGAAGTCACAGTTGTCACTAAGGAAGCGGTACCACAGGTGGTCTCTGTTCCGAACAAATTTGTTCCTAAACCGTTTGACTATCACCAGCAACTAACCATCAAAATTGATTCTTTGACAAACATGGGATGGGGTGTCGGMAGAGTCAAACTATCTGAAGAAAAAACGACTGATAGCTTTGCAGACRACAATAGCAGCGACAATACCGACGGAGAAGAAATGGATGAGCGGATGTGGGTAGTTATGGTTCCCCATGTGTTGGTTGGGGAAACAGTCAGAGTGAGCATTTTCCGCAACATGAAGGGCCACAGCGAAGCCGATCTCGTAGAAATTGTCGAGCCCAGCCCGGAACGCGTGGTCCCCAAGTGCTCGCTGGCAGGTACCTGTGGAGGCTGCCAGTATCAACACATGTCGATYAAAGCCCAGCGCGAATGGAAAACAAAACACGTTGAAGAAGTTTTGATGCAGCAAGATATTCAAGGCTACAACACGCCCGAACTTCTCGACGTTTTGCCAACGTCTGGGACCGACGARGTCTATGGGTACCGTTCCAAAATTACGCCTCATTACCAGGCACCAATCGAGAATCCCGATGGGACCTTCGAATTGCAGGCGATTGGTTTTCAACGATCTTCCAACCGCAATCTCGTGGACGTCCCCGAGTGCTTCATTGCCATGCCGGACATCAACAAAAAATACAAGGAGACTCGGGTACGGTTGCACGAAGAGGCCAAACGGGGCCTTCTAAACCAACCACCAAARAAGAAAAAGAAGAGGCGAAGRGGCAGTAGAGGAGGAGCCAAAGGAGCGACCCTATTGTTCCGTCAGGCCGATGACGAAGATGACGAAAACGGTATCTCAAAGCCATTGGTGGTGACCGATAACAACCAATACATGACCACTACCATCAAGGGTTTGAAATTCCGATACATTGCCGGAAACTTTTTCCAAAACAACAATTATGTTGTCCCTCTGATGGTCGATGCCGTTGTAAAAGCTGCATCAATTCCAGTTTCAGCCACGGGCAAACCTCCGTCTAAACTTATTGATTGTTATTGTGGATCGGGCCTCTTCGCCATCAGTGCGGCATCTAATTTCGACTTGTGCGTTGGTATTGAACTGAATGCTAAGGCCATTGAAGAAGCGACGGCAAATGCTGTCTCCAATGGCATTACCAACTGCCAATTCATGGCTGCCAGTGCAGAAGCAATTTTCACCAGTCCACCCGAAATCACGGTTGCTGGCTTTGAACAAGAGCGGGTCCAGACCTTCGATCGGCAAGAAACGGTAGTCATCGTGGATCCGCCTCGTAAGGGGTGTTCGGAAGAATTTTTGAAACAGCTCTACGACTACAATCCTCAACGAATCGTTTACATGAGCTGCGGCCCTGCCACTCAAGCTCGGGACGCCAAGGGGATCGTAGAGGTGGGTGGCTACGAAATAACGKCAATTCAACCTTTTGATCTGTTTCCTCAGACCAAACACATCGAGTCGCTAGTCGTCTTTGAAAAAAAAGAATCATAATTCTTTKAGTTTAGCACGCGAAGCCATYGGATCTAAGTGATTGAAATAAATAATTTATCATTTAGGTCTTTTCAATATGATGCGCACTCGATTGTTAGTATAGAAATAAATCGTAAAAAAGCTTTCAAAGTCATTCACTCCTGCAGAGTTCGGTCATTCGCCTTTCCAAATCGGTCGCTTCATGTTCACGGCAATGACCAAGGGAAAGATTTTTGGTTATTAGACGGATTCTGATTCCCCGTGTTGCTATGGCTCTCAACTTTGAGAGGAAATAGACCAACGGCAAGTTTCGGAGGAGTTCGATTCCTTCTTCTTTTTGGTAGTTTGACTGCTGAGTCTAAATCGCCGAGATATATATCTTTTGATGAAGGTAAGCAAAAGACCATATTTTGAATCAAGGTASCTTTTGGTCCTCTGCGACGACCATCAAAATCTCGGTCTTTCAGGATATTCCTAGGAGAGTAGCACCGTTTTTTAGGAGTGTAATATTGTAACGAAGTTGCATTACCAAATTCGTGGCAGGTGAAACCATACCTGGAATGAGGGGAGAGGCAACTTGTGTTTATTGCAAATGCACGATTATTCTTTTGCAGAATGCTACCTGCATGTTCGAAAGTACTTTTTCTGCCCGAAAGCGATAGTTCTGAATSCGCATTCCAATTTTCAATATCTTCAGAAACAGGAGGGCGACCCTCAGGGAAATGCATGTCATCGATCATTCCACAATCAATGCATTCATTCTTATTGCACTTGGTTTCGTCGATTAATGATGGGAGATCCATTGTTGTCGTTGTCATTTTCAGCATCATTTATCAGTATCATGTCCATGTTCTGTGTTCAAAACTTGGAGCATGAAGTACTAGGAACAAAAATGTGGCGTTTTCTTTGTATCGCAAAACATCCGTGCTCGTTCTCGTTCTTGTTCTTTAGTMACGCAACGTACCGTATCTTGTTCCAAGCAATTCTTCGCGATGTTTCCCATYTCCGAAAAAGAATACAGTAGATTACCGGTCACGTGCACCTATTCATCTTCYGAAGAAGAATGAGAAGAAGTATCGTAATATTTATTATTTATTTAGTATTTAGGGTGTACGRTATGACAAATCACATCTGACATCCCTGGTTCAAAGAAAATAATGACGAAATTGTTTMTCATTTGTCTGGGTTCGGTTAGGTATACGATTGAGTTCTTCTTTTTCAGTGATTACTGCATTCGTATTTAACAGTATCCATTCAGGGTTGTTTCCTCTCAATGGAAAATTGGAGGAGCGAAACTAGAATACAGTACGTACCGTTATTGCTTTCCTGCTTATGAAGGAGTTCAATTCTTCGAATAAATGTATGGTACGTGATAATGAGAGGAAAGAACATTCTTCTTTTTTTCTGAACGGAGGATTTTCCTGCTGCTCCATCTGTTCTTTCTTCCTTTGACGTATTCTATGCATGATTATTCGTCCCCAATGCTTATTTTCCATTCCACTCTGTACCACAAACCGTATTATTTATGCAATAAAAATCACATTTAGACCACTGTAAGAGCGTTTAATKAAATGATTTACGGACAAAGAAGATAAATAATTATGACAATATGTTTCGAATTTKGTACGGTACTTACCGTACCCTCATCTTCTCCTTCAATTGTCCGCTCTGAATTAGGATGAATTATTAGACTAGCTATGTACGAAGGAATAYAGTTCGAAATTGTACTACGTACCATTCCTGTTGGTACGGTGTGCTTGGAAAAACTCGATGAGAGGATTATTTCTATTTTGTCTGCAATTACGTGCAGCCTATCTGAAAACTACTAAATGAGCTATTCCCTTGTTTCCTAACATTTAATGGTCCCATCCTTCTCGGTTGAAAAACAGGCCGAGTACCAGTTTTACTAGTAGTACTATTAGTTATATAAACTTCTTTCGGAATGTGCTGGAACTACTACTACTTCTACTACTACTGCAGGTAGTACTTGCAMGAAATACGTGTACTCTTAGTAGTGTTTTAGTGTGTATGAAATCAAAATTATAAGATTAAAGATTACCGAGCGTGCGTATCCGTTGCAGTACTACTACTAGTAGTAGTACTAGTACATCTTGTCGTACTGGGATTTGTTCACCATGTTTTGATGTTTCTTTCTCTCAACAAACAACATCATCATTTTATCTGACTCAATAGTAGTACTAGCTTCTACTATAAATAATTTGCTTTTCAAATTGAGTGCCAAATCTTTTTGCWGTATCATTAGTAGATGACTTTTTCACTTTGATCTTCAATGGACCAATGACAACAAGAACAGGAATAGCTGATGTCTAGTCAACTCGTAGTAGTATGGTAGAACAGCTTGTCGTTGATGTTTTCAGGGTGGAAATCTTTTGTGGAGCTGCCATTAGATGATTCAATGAATACACTGGTAAGAACTGTGCATTTTTTGTTTTCCTGATGATTTTGAAATGATGAGATGAATTGGAAATATCTTTCCTTTTTTGTGTGATGCCTCTTTCACTGTTTTGAACAAGTGCTTTTCTACTTCTCCTGCATACTCTTATTTATGTGTAGTATTGGGCTTTTTTGCAATTGGAACAGGCTCTCTCTAAACTGGTAAAACTGGCTGATCTTCAAGATGGGTTGAATTTCTTTCATTTCTTCTTCAACACTGCTCCATTTCCACCTTGAAAAGCACCATTCTTAATTTTCACTTCCACTRAGTTCAAAATAGAAAATTCACAATTTCCCAAAAAATGAACTCCACCATGAATCCTACCAGCACTTAMTCCATCTTATATCCTTTTCTTGATAGTAGTACTAGTAACATTGATAATAATAATWTCCCTCTTGCTCCTGTTGTTGGGGTCACTTCTTCTTACTTAAGAATGATGAGTAGGGGTCTGTTCCAAGTTGTGTGACTCAATTTTTCCTTGATAAGTCAAGAGTGGTCAGTCTTGCTATAAARCTTGTTTCAGTTTTGTGTTACTTTAAATCAAGCTTTCAATCCTTTATTGCCAAAGATGACTTGTTTGTAGTTGATGCTGGTGGTGATCAAAATTGATCTTCTTCATTTTTCCAGGATGCTGATTTCTCCTACAAATGGTTGTCCCTACATCAACAAAAGCAGTGAAAYTCCTGCTTTGCCTCCAATAAGATTAAAGAGTCTTGTCCACCTTTTGAGATTGGAAGATTGGCAGGTGACAACTGCACCATTACTAGTGCAACAATCAAGGAAGGGGGCTTGAAAGCAAAACTTGCAGATTGTCTGATAGAACAAACATATACAGAGACATGGAAGATTTTGCTTCCTGTCACTAGTACTAGGAGTACTAAGTACTAAAAATAGTAATGGCCTCAGCAAGATGCTTATGTTGTTGTTGCTGCAGGCGGTGCCAAATCTTCCAAAAGGATAGATTCAATGCTTAAATTGAATGTTCTTGGAGGACCTTCCTGTCATGATTGATGACACCAATATTGTATACATGTGGCTCAAAAATTGATGATACAGTCATCAATTTTGGGCTATCTTTATCACGAGTAAAATATGTCAGGTGCAMCAAGAGACATCACAAAATCTTGTCCAACAACACCATATTTTCTATGGATTTTTGTCATGATRTCAATCAATGTGTCAGAAGTACATTCTTGATGAACATATTTACCTAARTTAATATCTAATGTTGCACCAATGCTGCTTTGCCAACAATACTGCTCCTTCATTATGTTGCTACTAGAAGCAAGGCAACTCTTTGTCAATTGTCAGACACAGAGGAGTCATAACCTTTGTGTGCTGAAGCTACCATATTTGCAGCAGTAAATGTGCATTTCCTTCTGACAACCAACAACTAGTTGCCMCCCCCATTGACATTAATCAGCAACACTAATCAGCAACAGTATTTCTCTAGCAGTAGTAGTATCAGCAATACTAACCAGCTATCTCAGCTACTGATGTCAGCTACCACCACCAAGGACAACAAATCAACAACAAGAACGCATCAATGCTATCAATAACAACATCAACAACAAACAATGACACCTATCAGCAGCACTAATCAGCAGTGCAGCACCAATCAGCACCAGTTTTCCTCCAGCAACAGCAATAGTTTTTACACTCATGATATCCACAACAGTATCGTCAGCAACACAAAGCAGCTATTGCCGCAAACTACAGCAACAAGCAAACCAATTGTTGACAACWACAATGAATCAATGCTAGTAAGCAACACTATCAGCAAAGCTCAGCAACTAACAGGGACACTCAGCAACATTATTGATGCCACTCACCAACATAACCAACTGGCCTTTGTCAAGGACAAGATATAACCGTGTCTCCACAAGTCTGTAGCCTTTGAAGTAGTCTTTGACTTAGAATCAGATGTGGAAACTTTGTTTGAGGATGAAGGCTCAAGCAGTGATGATRAGGAGGTTGAAGAGGAGACTGAGCGCAAGTGTGATTATAATTTGGATACTTCTGGGATGAGTCATGAGGGTTCAGCACAGACAGAGTTCTTCAATGTAATTACGCAGTGCTAGACAGCTTGGAACTGGGACAATGTTGTCGAGCCTCACCATACTGAGATCTTTTATTGGAAGAATGGAACTATTGTTGATAGCAGTCTTAACTTTCCAAAGATTGCAGTAGGTTATGAAGGGAAGGATCCAAAGGTTGACAAAGATGAACATGAAGACTGGAATGATGTTGATAATCCCAGGGGATGGCACCCTTATTACTACAGACCCAAGTTCAAAGCAGCAACAGGGAAGTACAAAGGTCACTTTCTTCCTTCTGAGTGCAAGCCTGTGGAAATTCTTAAACACTTAGCCGGTCTTGGCAAGGAACCCATCAGGGAGGTAAATGAATGGAAGTTTCATTATCTTGGGTGGGATAGTACAGTCAAAGATCCTAACAATCAGTTTACAAGGGAGTTTGCTACTAGGGAGAACATGTTTCCTTAGGAGAGGAATGGGATTCTAAGGATATTTCATTCAATGAGGAGATTGCAAACACTATGACACGTACCAGGTGGTATGACATCAAAAGGAACTAGCAGCTTTGCATTAATGACACTGACAGGCCTTTTT